TGGTGAAACTACGTCTCTACTAAAAATACAAAAATTAGCTGGATGTGTTGGCAGACACCTGTAATCCCAGATACTTGGGAAGCTGAGGCAAGAGAATTGCCTGAACTTCAGACGTGGAGGTTGCAGTGAGCCAAGATCGGGCCACTGTACTCCAGCCTGGGTGACAGAGCAAGACTCTGTCTAAAAAAAAAAAAAAGAGAGATGGGGCCTAATGGCAGGTGTTGGGGTTATGGGGGGTGAATCCCTCATAAATAGATTAATCCCTCCCCATGTGGAGTGGGGAGTGAGTGAGCTCTCACTCTATTAGCTCCCTTGAGAGCTGATTGTTAAAAAGAGCCTGGAACCTCCCTCCCATCTCTCTTCTCTTCACTCTTATCATGTGATTTCTGCCAAGTCCCCTTGCCCTTCCTCCATGAGGTTCAGCCGTTTGAGGCTCTCACCAGATGCAGATGACAGCACTCTGCTTCTTGTACAGCCTGCAGAACCATGAGCCAATAAGGTGTTTTTGTTTTTGTTTTTGAGACAGAGTCTCATTCTGTCAACCAGGCTGGAGGGCAGCGGTGTGATCTCGGCTCACTGCAACCTCCACCTCCTTGGTTCAAGTGATTCTCCCACCTCAGCCTCCCCAGTAGCTGGGATTACAGGGGCACACCACCACACCTGGCTAATGTTTGGTAGAGATGGGGTTTTGCCATGTTGGCCAGGCTGGTCTTGAACTCGTGACCTCAAGTGATCTGCCCACCTTGGCCTCTCAAACTGCTGGAATTACAGAAGTGAGCCACTGTGCCCAGCCAACTTCTTTTCTTTATAAATTACCCAGCTTCTGGAATCCCTTTATAGCAACATAAATGGACAAAGATAAATAACCACTAAAAATATAAGAGATAAAGGTAATAAGATATAGTGGAGATTAAAGAAAATGCTTAAAAAATACTCTAAGTAAGGCATGAAAAGAGGAAGAAAGAGATGAGAAAAAATAAAAGGACAACTGGAAAACAAGTAGCAGGAGTGCAGATTTAAATCAAACTATATGAATAATTAAATTCAATTAGATTTAAATCATCTAAACATGCCAATTAAAAGGAAAAGACTGTCAGTCTGGATTTTTAAAAAAAGACTAATTTATCTACTGTCTTCAATAAAAGCATTATATATATAAATGCACAAATAAATTAATAGTAAAAAGATGGAAATATATTAGGAGGCTGAGGTGGGTGGATCACCTCGGGTCAGGAGTTCGAGACCAGCCTGACTGATATGGTGAAACCCTGTCTCCATTAAAAATACAAAAATTCGGCCAGGCACGGTGGCACGCCTGTAATCCCAGCACTTTGGGAGGCCAAGGCGGGAGGATCACTTGAGACCAGCAATTCGAGACCAGCCCGGCTAATATGGTAAAACCCTCTTTCCACTAAAAATACAAAAAAATTAGCTGGGTGTAGTGGCACACACCTGTAATCCCAGCTACTCGAGAGGCTGAGGCAGGAGAATCGCTTGAACTTGAGAGGCGGTGGTTGCAGTAAGCTGAGATTGCGCCATTGCACTCCAGCTTGGGCAAAACTTTGAGCAAAACTTTGTCTCAAAAAAAAAAAATTAGCTAGGCATGTTGGCATACACTTGTAGTCCCAGCTACTCGGGAGGCTGAGACAGGAGAATCGCTTGAACCTGGGAGGCAGAGGTTGCAGTGAGCCAGTATTGTGCCATTGCACTCCAGCTTGGACAACTGGGCAAGACTCTGTTTCAAAAAAAAAAATTTTTTAAGATGGAAATACATATAGGTAACATAATCACTAACCTTATGAAAATTAGAGTGGCCATATCCTTATTAGTAGACTTCATAATCTTACCAGGCATAAAGAGAAATATTTCATAATGGTGAAGGGGTAAATTAATCAGGAAGAAATATCAATCCTATATATGTGTGTACTCAATAACAGAAATTTTAAATACATGAAATAAAACCAAAACTAAAAGGAGTAATAGAAAACTCCTTACATTTCAATAGTCTTCTCAGTAACTCATGAAACAAGTCCATAGAAAGTTAGTAAAGATAGAGAAGACTCAAACACAATAAAGGTGTTCCCTGACCCTTGCCAAGACTCCCACATCTTAGTTTCCAGAACCTGCGAATACGTTTGTTACTTTATGCGGCAAAAGGGACTTTGCAGATGTGATTAAGTTAAGGATGTTGAGATGGGAGATTTTTCTGAATGTCTGGATGGGTCTGTTACAATCACAAGGGATTCTTACAAGATCAGAGTCAGAAAAGGAGACATGATGACAAAAGCCGAGGTCAGAGTGATATGATTGCTGGTTTTGCAGGCAGCCTCCAGAAGCTGGAAAGGGCAAGGGAATGGAGCCATCAGAAGGAAACAGTCCTGCCAAAATCCTGATTTCAGTCCACTGATACCCATTTTGGATGTCTGTCCTCCAGAACTGTAGCCTCAATGTCCTCAACTATAAAGTGATAATAATAGTATCTACCTCATAAGGTAGATACTATTTTATTAGCAGACATGCCAGATAAAGAGGGAACCAGATAAAGGCTGTTATAGAAAATGGAGAAAGAGACAGATAGAGGCTGGGCAAGTTGTTCGATAGTGACGCAAGACTAACCCAAAGTGAAGGAGAGAGAGAAGGTCAAGTCTAGGAAACATCCTAGACTACCATGCAGTCTAAGAAAGTTACAGCAAGGACTAGGGGGAGGCCTTGAGCCAAAGCCAGCTCACAAAGGAGTCCTGTGTATCTGAGGAAAGTGTGTCTTAGTATCTGTGCTGTCATTGGCTGGGAGTAACTCATGGGAGGTGTGGCTTTAGTGCAAACATGGCAATGGATTTCAGACCAATAGCACTGGGGACCCTTGTTCAGTTATGCTCCCTGTCATTGCAGATCTGTGAGGTGCATTCATATACCCATTGCATAACCCCAAGTGGTCCCCACATCTAGACAAAGTGAAGTTGTTCCATGTCCTAATTCATGGGAGCCACCAATGACTCTGATGGCACCTTTGAGAGCCCATAGCAGTCTTTTCGTCCTCTGAACCCCTACTGGCCTTGTGGGCTGTTCTGCTTGTTTGTTCCTTATTTGGTTTGTACTGCCGTGAATTACAAGCCATTTCTTGCTTTCTTCCAGAGTCACTCGTATATTTAATAATCCAATTAGGAATTAGAGATATGCCAAATTGCTAATCACAAGTTAGAGTATCAAATCACCTAAAGGTTATTACAAAACATTTATTTATTTCTTCAGGCTTTCATTTTATGCTGAAGCTGGTATATTCCAACTGCAAAAGTATTAGTAATCATAATGGCTTGGCATGGTGGTTCATGACTTTGGGAGGTCAAGGGGGAGTAAATCACTTGAGGTCAGGAGTTCATGAGCAGCCTGGTCAACATAGTAAAACCCCACCTCTCCTAAAAATACAAAAATGAGTTGGGCATGGTGGCATGTGCCTGTAATCCCAGCTACTTGGGAGGCTGAGGCATGAGAATCGCTTGAACCTAGGAGGTGAAGGTTGCAGTGAGTCGAGGTCACACCACTGCACTCCAGCCTGAGTGACAGAGTGAGATTCAGTCTAAAAAAAAAAGTATTAATAGCCATAACTACTATTGACATGCAGACAGTAAAAAGTGAGTGAACTTGTTCCTATTTACTATACCTTTGTTTAGAATGTTTTTGTGTTATATAAACACATATATACAAATTTTTCTTTTTACAAAAATGAAATTATTCTATATACACTGCCTGCCACTTGCTTATTTCACTTATGTATTATGGACATGTTAGTACTTATAGTTGGAGCTTATTCTAAATAAAACACCACTGTATACTATTGTAAAGAAATAGTATGCAATGGATAATATTTCTTTACAACAGTCCCTTTTGGTAAGCATGTAAGTTATTTGCAATTTTTAATCACAAACAACAATCTAATAAATATTCTTGTCTTTACATTATTGTCAATTTATGAAAGAAAATCAATAGTGCAGTTCTTAGAAGTACCTTGTTGAGCCAAAGAGTATTCACATTTAAAGTTTTGCTAGCACCAGGCGCGGTGGCTCACGCCTGTAATCCCAGCACTTTGGGAGGCCGAGGCGGGTGGATCACGAGGTCAAGAGATCGAGACCATCCTGGCCAACATGGTGAAACCCCATCTCTACTAAAAAATACAAAAATTAGCAGGGCATGGTGGCGCGCGCCTGTAGTCCCAGCTACTTGGGAGGCTGAGGAAGGAGAATTTCTTGAACCCGGGAGGCGGAGGTTGCAGTGAGCTGAGATGGAGCCACTGCACTCCAGCCTGCGGCCTGGCAACAAAGTGAGATTCTGTCTCAAAAACATAAAATATGTAATCCCAGCACTTTGGGAGGCCGAGGCGGGTGGATCACAAAGTCAAGAGATAGAGACCATCCTGGACAACATGGTGAAACCCTGTCTCTACTCAAAATACAAAAAATTAGCTGGGCATGGTGGTACGTGCCTGTAATCCCAGCTACTCAGGAGGCTGAGGCAGGAGAATTGCCTGAACCCAGGAGACAGAGGTTGCGGTGAGCCGAGATCATGCCATTGCACTCCAGCCTGGGCAACAAGAGCGAAACTCCGTCTCAAAAAAAAAGAAAAGAAAAAATAAATAAAAATAAATAAATAAATAAAGTTTTGCTAGCTACTGCCAAAGTACCTTCCAAAAAGTTGCATCAATTTATACCCCCATGGAGTGACAATCTTTTAAGCTCATGTCTTTGGTAGGACATGGATGCTTTTCTGAACCACATATTAAGTTCCAAGATATTAAAAAAATTTTTTCTGATTTGCATTTACCGATTAACTTGTCATTATAATTATTATAAAAGCATAGAAAATTAAAGACTGGTCTGCATTTAAAGTATGTGTATTGGTTGCTTATTGCTGCTGTAACAAATTGCCACAGACTGAATGAATGGCTTAGAACAATACGATTTTATTATCTTAACAATTCCAGAGGTTAGAAGTCTGGCACAGATCTTATTGGGTTAAAATCAAAGCACCAGGCTGCTGTAACAAATTACCACAAACAGAATGGCTTAGAACAACACAAATTTATTATCCAAACAATTTTGGAGGTTAGAAGTCTGGTACAGGTCTTACTGGGTTAAAATCAAAGTGTCAGGCTAGGCGCGGTGGCTCACACCTGGAATCTCAGCACTTTGGGAGGCCAAGGTGGGTGGATCACCTGAAGTCAGGAGTTCGAGACCAGCCTGGTCAACATGGCAAAACCCAACAACAACATGCCCCAAATGCAGACAAAAGTTTTTCAGAAAGTGCCTGTACTGGAACGACTAAATGGTAAAACATTAAATACAACTGTATATCCAAGACCCAGTTTGAGTTAATATGTGGGTAACCTGGCAGTTTTAACCTCTATGGCTAATCCCATTTCTCTATTTGTATAAACAGAGCTAGTATTGCTATATTGACAACTACCAATATACAGCTTTGTCCTTTAAGATCTATCTGTCACACAAGGCTTAAACCACTAAACAAAGTTTTTCTACTAAGGTCAAGAATACTGCACCTATGCAGGGATGAGAAGCTTATCACACACCCACACTCACAGACACCATGTCAGCCCTTGGGGGTCAACTTTCAACACTGCATTGATGTTAAGCTTCTATATCTTTTATATGTATTCTTTCTCAATTTTCCTATCATGTAAAACAGTAGAAATCTCAACACATTTGCACCTGGTTCTGGTTACCCAGTAGTATTGCTTGTGTACAATTAAACAAGAGACTAAAACCACAGAACAAGTGCATGCGATAGGCATTACAGGGGTAGGTAACAGATATAAAAACACAGATGTGCCAATTTCACCAGAAACCTCAAGGATCCACATCCCATGTATGGAGCAGAAGGCTATTGGCCAGCTTAGGTCCCTTCACCCATCATTCCTGTTCCTGGACCCCAAAAGCAGGGCCACTGTTTTTACTTTCGAACCTGGGGTCCAAAAATGAGTGTGTGAAAAGTTCAAAAACACAATCTGATTGAAAAACACATGATGTAACACACCCATACTGTCTAACAGTTAAATTCCTGTCACAGAAAGCTGACTTTACAGCTGGCCATGGTGGCTCATGCCTGCTACAAAAAACTAACTTTGGCCGGGCGCGGTGGCTCAAGCCTGTAATCCCAGCACTTTGGGAGGCTGAGGCGGGTGGATCACGAGGTCAAGAGATCGAGACCATTCTGGTCAAAATGGTGAAACCCAGTCTCTACTAAAGATACAAAACATTAGCTGGGCATGGTGGCGCGCACCTGTAATCCCAGCTACTCAGGAGGCTGAGGCAGGAGAATTGCCTGAACCCAGGAGGCAGAGGTTGCAGTGAGCCGAGATCGTGCCATTGCACTCCAGCCTGGGTAACAAGAGGGAAACTCTGTCTCAAAAAAAACAAAAAACAAAAAAAACTAACTTTCAGGCCACGCACGGTGGTTCATGCCTGTTACAAAAAACTAACTTTAAGCCTGGGCTGGGCAGGGCGCAATGGCTCACGCCTGTAATCCCAGCACTTTGGGAGGCCGAGGTGGGTGGATCACGAGGTCAAGAGATCGAGACCATCCTGGTGAACATGGTGAAACCCCGTCTCTACTAAAAATACAAAAAATTAGCTGTGCACGGTGGTGCGTGCCTGTAATCCCAGCTACTCAGGAGGCTGAGGCAGGAGAATTGCCTGAACCCAGGAGGTGGAGGTTGTGGTGAGCCGAGATTACGCCATTGCACTCCAGCCTGGGTAACAAGAGTGAAATTCCATCTCAAAAAAAAAAAAATAAAGAAAAAAGGCTGGACACAGTGGCTCACGCCTATAATTCCAACACTTCAGGAGGCTGAGGCGGGTGGATCACCTGAGGTCAGGCGTTTAAGACAAGCCTTACCAATATGGTGAAACCCCATCTCTACAAAAAATATTAAAAAATTAGCCGGGCATTGCAGCATGCACCTGAAGTCCCAGCAACTTGGGAGGCTGAGACAGAAGAATGGCTTGAACTTGGAAGGCAGAGGTTGCAGTGAGCCGAAATGGAACCACTGCACTCCAGCCTGGGCGACAGAGTGAGACTGTCTCAGAAAAAACAAACAAACACTAACTTTAAGATTTACTTTTGTCCTACTCCAACAGTTCTTCTAGCTGTACAGAAAAAGAAAAAGTTTTAATTTTTAAATTTTTTTCAACAGGGAAAACAACATACTTCCCAGGGAAAGGTGAGGGATTGAGAAGACAGGCCCTGGGTAAAAATTCTTGTGACAGCACCTGGAGTTGATAGGCCTGCCTAGGAGAGAACACACACACTGGCACATCAACACAGGAGACAGCTGCTCTCTGGGTTCAGCTGACCAGTTCACACACCACAAAAGGTTTCTATAAATCTAAGACATAAAATTCTTCATCACGAAACACATCCCGCTCATCTTCAGAGTGTGTCAGTTCGTCCTCCCCACCTGCAGAAGAAAGCATAAGCAACATCTCGCTCTGCTCATTGTTGTTAAAAGGGTTGCTGTTTGCTTCTTCGTCAAGTAATTCCCAGAAGCTGTTGCTTCCTTGTGCCTGGTTTCTGCTTGATGCTTCCACTTTCTGTTTCTGTGGCTCCTCTCTACGGCCATCAGGGTACACATGCTTGTAAAAACAGTTCTCTCTAAATGGGCAGCTCCCACGTCCTTCATCAAAATACCTGCATGCCTTGTTGCTCATTGCCTCCTTGTAATTCTGAATGAGTTTCTCCTTCTCTTCTTTCTCCTCCACCCAGTACTCACTTGGAATGACAAAATTAGATCTGATTCGGCATTGTGGGCAGGACTTTACGACCTTGCTCTCAAATTCTTCGGCACTCCTCCACTTGCGAATGCACTTGAGACAGTAGGTGTGGTTGCAGTTGGAGAGGATCCCGAAGCGGCACTCACTGGGGTTGTCTTTCTGATAGACCACCTCCATGCAGATCCCACACACCATATCCTTGCTGCGCTGCACAGCAAATGAGAGTTCCATGTCCTTCTCATGGGCCTCAATGCACGATTTTATATGCTGTGATCTCTGGGAAGCATCCATTGGATGCAGGACCTGCAGCCCACACATATCACATGAATCTCCGTGGATATACACACAGTTCTCCCCATATCGGCACTGTCCCACTGCAGCATAGGGGCACAGCTGCTTTTCTGTTTCCATGTTGGTTTGCTCTTTCTCTGATTCTTCGTTGGTCACTGAGCCCTGCAGGGGTGCTTCAGTGCAGACAGGCACAGTACGGCCACAGTAGGGTTGCCCAGGAACAAACTCAATAGCATTCACCCAGTCCTCTGAGCCTGGTCCTATAGTTGCAAAGTTTGAATTTTCTGACTCACCTTCACCTGTATTCATTTCAACAAGTGGTCCAACTATCGATGAGAGACTTGAGGAAGCAGCAAGTGATGACTTTGTAGTTAGCTCTGTAGAGGTTGCTTCTTCCTGCTTCAGTGGCTTGCTATGCTCATATCTGCAGCGGTCTCCATAAATACAGCACCCTTGGTGAAAATACTTGCACACTACACCATGCGGACTCTCAGAGAGCTCATGAGAATAGCGACAGTTATCACCTTCCTTATAAGCCCCATGCATAAAATACGTGCAAGTGACCTGTTTAGTCCAGCTGTCGTCACCGGCACTGCTGGCTCTGCTGGCGCCGTGGGCGCCATTGAGACCGCTGGCGCCCCGGGCGCCACTGGGGCTACTGCCGCCGTAGCTGCCGTCGCTGCCTCCGCCCCCTCTGTCCGTCCTCGGGGACAGGGCGGTGACTGCGAGGATCGGTGTGGAGAAGGCGGCCGCTGCCTCCTCCTCCGCCACTGCTGCTCCTAATATTGTGGCTATTGTTCCGGGAGCTGCAGCCTCCGCCATTACTGCTTATCCCACACCCCAAAGGCCACGGAACGCCCCGGAACTTCCGAGGTCACATAGTTCCAAAGGCCCGGAAACTTCTGGGATCACATAGTTCCCGTCCGGCTGCGAGGAGAAGATGGCGGGAACAGGCGAGGGGAGGGGAAGGAGACTGAGGCCCCCTCTCGGTTCCCGCCGGCTCCGCCTCTTTCTTTTTTTAAGAGATTTTTTTCTCCTTCTGTGTGTAGCCTTTGTTGGGAGACAATTCTCCCAACAAACATACCAATAGGTCTCGTGTATTTGGACATCTTGCAAATAAGGCACTGTACTGTCCTTTGTTCTGGACTACGTTTGGTATAGAGTGCATCCTTGAGAGACAGATACTGTCTCCCTCCAAAGAAAACGGCAGGCATGCTTACTGTCTGGCATAGTAAGACAGTAAGGGGGAGGGGACAAGCTGGAAAGTCCCACACCTCATTGGAACCAAGAGGCAATGAGAAACTCCCTCAAGATAGAGGGGCCAGGAAGAGCAGCAGCTGGCGGTGCCAGCCTCCCGGGCCAGCCTACAGCCAAGTCCGGGGACCCGGGGTCGGGCGGCCGGGAAGGGGCCCCGTGCACAGCCGCTGGGTAGCGGCTGCGGCGCCTGTAGGACCAGCTGGCCGCCCACATCGCGCCCTTCCGCGCCCGCCTGGCGTCACTAGAGGGAGACGCCGCGCGGTCCCTGGTGGACTCGCTGCTGGAGCCGGTGGCGCGCTTCCGGGAGCAGCTGCGGCGGCAGGAGGGCGGCACCGCGGACGCCCAGATGCGCCAGAAAATCGAGAGGCTTACTGAGCGACTAGGAGTAAAAGAAAGGGAGATGCAGCAGCTGCTGAGCCAGCCACAGCAGGAGCAAGAGAAGGAAGTTGTCCTGCTGTGGAGGAGCGCCGCGGAGGGGGAACGGGCCTCGGCCACCAGTGACGTTCTGTGCCCCCTCCATCCCCGGCCAAGGAGACCCAGCAGTTGTGGAGGATGCTGACCGCCACTGCCCACATGTGTCAGCATCTGGCCAAGTGTCTGGATGAACAACAGCATGCACAAAGGAACGTGGGGGAGAGGAGTCCTTAAAGTCAGAACATAAAGATGGGGATACCTTTGTTCAGTGTGTTACCGAGCAGTTACTGGAAGAATATCGACTCTTAAAACAGAAGGTGGCCGGGCGCGGTGGCTCACGCCTGTAATCCAAGCACTTTGGAGGCCAAGGCGGGTGGATCACCTAAGGTCGGGAGTTCAAGACCAGCCTGACCAACATGGTGAAACCCCGTCTTTAAAAAAGAAAAAAAAAAAAAAAAAACAGGTTACTCACGTTGAAGACCTCAATGCCAAGAGGCAGTGTTAGGATGTCAGCAGGGACGAATATGTGAGGGGGCTCCATGCACAGTTCAGGGGGCTGTAGACCCCCTCCATGAGCCCGAGCTGATGAGGAAGATCTCCCGACTCAATGGACAGTTGAAAGAGAAAATAAACGACTGTGCAGATGTGAAGCAGGAGCGCGTGGCCTAGAGGACAGCCCAGGATGCTGTGCTGGAGTGGGCGCAGCTGCTGGAACAGCAGATTCTTGCTTACAAGGATGACTTCAAGTCAGAAAGGGCAGATCAGGACAGACTTAAAATAGGATTCAGGAACTGGAGGAAAAGGTGATCTCTTTGCTGCACTGGGTGTCCTGGAGACAAGATTCTCAAGAGCCAGACACCTGCCGGATTCACGCTGAAAGCAAAACTGCCAAGTACTTGGCCACCAATGCACTGGAGCTTATGGTGCCTGGTGGCTGGAGGCATGGGACTGGGTCCCAGCAGTTGGAACCCCCTGCAGAAGGCTGACATCCTGGGCAGCCCAGAGAGACCAGGGGGACCTTCAGTGCTCTCACTGCCTGCAGTGCTTTAGTGATGAGCAAGGTGAAGAGCTCCTCAGGCACATGGCCGAGTGCTGCCAGTGACCGAGATTCCACCCATGCCCTTGCCGATCCCTGGCCTGGCGCAGCTGCCTTCAGGGATAGGGTGGGTGCTCTCAACGCCATGGATTAAGCTCTACTGAGATCCAAGGCCCTCTACTGTGATCATTTGGTACCCCTTTGGCTATGGAACAGGCTGGGTCACAGGGAACTGCCAGTGAGGCTAGAGGCTGGAGGTGGAGATGGGGTCAGAAATATCTGGCAGAGGGAGGCCCCAGTCTTGTGTCTCCATCAGGCTGAAGCCAGAGCAATCTGGGGTTCGCGTGCCAACCCTTCCCCCAGCCTGCACCTGGGTATGCTACAGCTTGCCAGAAAGGGGTGGCTGCCTATGGGAGCCATTTGTATGTTCCCCAGGGTGGAAGCCCCATCCTGTTCTACAGAACAAGGTGTCTCCTCTCTGCCTTGAACCAGAGGTTTGTCAAGTGGAGTATTGTGGCTGCACATCACACAAGGGGGCCCATCCCCGCCATTGCAGAGCCACATGTCTGCACTGAAAAACTGTATCGCAATAGCATTTGTTGTATATCTAGAAGTTAAAGCACACTTTTTTATCCGCCTATTTTTATAATAAATGTTCTTGCTACTGTGGAAAAAAGAGAGAGGCAAGTGAGAAATGGCTGTGTGGCAGCTCCTCACAAGACTGCCTACCCTCTCATGCTCAGGGAGGATCACAGGGCCTTCTGCCACAGCATGGATCAGCTTGCAGTAGAGCCTTGCCTATATGGCCTATGAGGATATATGCAGTTTTTAGGGCACCAGCACAGAGGAGTTCCCCTGTATGATTGGGGCTCAAGAAACTGAGGCCAAAATGTTGATATCTGGTGACTGGCTTTTCAGAGTCCAGAGTGCTGACCCAGGAGTCTCATGTTTTCTACCAGATTCCATGAAACTGGTGGGCTGACTTGTTAGCTTGTGAGTAGGGCAAAATCTCAGACCTTTTACAGTTCTTGACAGCTTTAGTGAGGAGGGTGGGATACTGACAGAGACATGGCTTTCTAGAAAGAGAAGGATGAGAATGTTGTGGGTAAATTTAATGAAATTTGAGGGCCAGATATGGTGGCTCACACCTGTAATCCCAGCAATTTGGGAGGCCGATGCAAGCGGATTGCTTAAGCTCAGGAGTTTGAGACCAGCCTGGGCAACATGGCAAAACCCCGTTTCTACTAAAAATACAAAAATTAGCTGGGCATGGTGGCATGTGCTTGTGGTCCCAGCTACTGAGGAGGCTGAGGTGTGAGAATCTCTGGAGCCGAGGCTGCAGTGAGCCGAGAGTGTGCCACTGCACTCCAGCCTGGGCGACAGATCAAGACTGTTTCAAAAAAGAAAGAAAAGAAAAAGGAAATTTGAGGAAAGTCCCTGAAATATGTTGACCAAATTATCTGCTCAATCAGTCTGTAAATAGTTCTTCACTTTATTGCCTGTTAATGATGGAGATTGAAAAGGTGGATGCAGGCTGAGTACCAGGAAGCAGATTCAAAAACCCCTGCCCAAATGGTGCCCTGGTTCTTGCTAACTCTACTGCAGGTGTAGAACTTCCTGAACAATTTGGAGTTAGCCTCAGGTCTGCCCCATTGTAACAACTAGTACTGGGTATTGTCTGGTGTGCATAAAAGATTCTGCCCTCTTTTAGACAACAATTGCAGAGATGTGTGGAAGGAGGGAAATTCATGACCATTATGGGCAGAAACCAGGCACATCATTAGGAGCCTGGCTGGTTCACTTGGGAGATGAGGAAGTAGGGCTAGTAATGCTTGTCAAGGAAGAAAGGCAACATAAATTGGGTCTTATGGCTCAGCTTCTCCTGCGGTCCATCATGTCTGCCTTAGATCCACTAGGAGAGAACAATAAAAGGTCTTAGAGGGTTTTTTTTTGCAATAGATCCTGGCTGCAATAAGGGAGCTATGGGCCTTTCAGAGAGATTTCCCTGAGACAGACCAACTCCTATGGGAAACCATAGATGAAGCATTGAGTAGTATTCAGGCTCTTACTGCCTTGAATTGGGTTTACAATGCGGGCAAAGCCACTGGAGAATGAGAAACTGACCTGATTAAACCTAGGTAGATGCTGCTGCCCTGGAAAACTTCCCTTATGTTGAAACCAGGCAAGAACATAAGAAACGTTATCTTGGGCCAGGCATGGTGGCTCACGCCGGTAATCCAAGCACTTTGGAGGCCAAGGCGGGCGGATCACCTGAGGTCAGGAGTTCAAGACCAGCCTGACGAACATGGTGAAACCCCGTCTTAAAAAAAAGAAAAGAAACGTTATCTTGGTGATGGGGCAGCAGAGGCCCTGAATTAAAGTGGAATTTTCAAAGAAGGTTGCTGCTGTGCAAGCCTGGCTCATGTCAGCCTGGGGTCACAAACGCAATGGCTTCAGCCAGAAAATCATACCGCTGTGACTGAGTGAAGGGGTCTCCAAAGCTGAAATTGATGGTGTCAACCGTCAGGATCTCTGCCTAGTCAGCATAAAGTGTGGGTAGGGAAAAAACACTGAAAGTTACTTTTGGTTGCACCATAAGATGCTGCCACATTACCTAAATGCAAAGCTTTTTTATTTAATAGCTCAGAGCCCTCTCCCATATCCCTGATCCCTCCCTCCTTTTCTACCCCAACCTCAGCTACTTTAAAAGGAAAGATTATTAGAGGTGGGGCCAAGATTTTCCTTACACTAAAGAGAATTGAAAACCATATCCACTCATCAAAGAGGAATTTGGGGAAAGTGAGGAATTCAAACTTTATGGCTTTGTTGAATACAAGTGCCCAAGTCACTATCCTACCCAGACTTGGGGAAGGCAAAAGCCCTCAGATCCAGCTAATGGTGCTGAGAGAAGGAAATCTAAATTGTGGGTAGGGTCCATTAGGCCAATTCAATGTACTGTGGTTCTTACTTCTGCATCTCAATGTACAGTAGGAATTGATGTGTCCCCATTCCATAAGTGCCAGCGTTGGGTGAGGGGAGATTTTCAGGATTCAGAAAAGTGGCATATAGAGAATTGGGTTTTTTGTATTGTTTTGTTTTAATAGAGATGGGGTTTCACCATGTTGGTCAGGCTGGTCTCGAACTCCTGACCTCAGGTGATCCACCTGCCTCAGCCTCCCAAAGTGCTGGGATTACAGGCATGAGCCACGCCCAGCCCTTTTATTTTTTTAAATAGAGAATTGTTTATGGGAAATGTAAATTGCTTCTCAACCCGCCTCTGTTTCTTCCCTGATGGTCCAACAGAAGCTAAAGAAGCCCAGGAAGAGAAAGGGAAATCATAGCCTTGATTAAAGACTTAAAGCCATCAGAGGTGGAAAGTAAGGCAATATCTCAATACAACAACCCTGTATGGCCAGTGAAGCAGGTGCTGAAGGCTTAGCGAAGATTATTGCTGACTCATCTGTTGTTGCTTTCATAGCCATGGCTGTTCCAGATATTGCAACTGCAACTGAATCCATTATCCAGGCTGATAACGCCTGGTTTGCTGTCTTAGACTTTTACCAACACCTTCTCACTGACACTTGAGGATCAAGATCAG